GTATAGAGTTCTATCATCTATGTTGAAAATTCATACACTTGAATTTTGCATCCGATTCTAAAGTCGTTTCTTATTCTTAAATCACTTTTCGTTCCGTTGATGAAAGATAGAGATCGGACTTTCTAACTGAGATCGAGTGGAATGAAATATGCTATTTTGTTGCAGACAGACATGTGACGTATTCACCATGATGTTGACAAATTTCTTATGTTGTTTATCGATAGATTCGAGTGTTACATTCGATTTTGAGGTCCTTTCTTATTTTTAAATCACTTTTTGTTCTGTTATTGAAAGATAGAGATTAGGCTTTCTAAATGAAAATGAATTCCGAAGCGATTCGTTCGATCTGAAGTACTTTCTTATTCTTATATCACTTTTTGTTAAGTTGTTGAAAGATAGATTAGGCTTTCATTGAGTTCCGTTAGCGATGCGTTTGATCTGAAGTCCTTTCTTATTCTTATATTACTTATCGTTCTGTTGTTGAAAGATAGAGATTAGGCTTTCTAAATGAAATTGAGTTCCGAAGCGATGCATTCGATCTGAAGCCCTTTCTTATTCTTATATCACTTTTCGTTCTGTTGTTGAAAGATAGAGATTAGGCTTTCTAAATGAAATTGAGTTTCGGGAATATACAAGCGAGAATCTATTCTATCTATTTGTGCATCAAGTTCGAGGAAGATCCCTATCACAACCCACAGTTGAAAAATGAATAGTGAGCTCTTCTCTTCCTGGCCCACTTTTAAAACTCGTAACGACAATAGCATATCTATTCAGTGTAATATAGGATGCATGCAAAGATTATTTTTCGATAAATTATCGACTTGAAAGAAGAGTGTAAATAAGCATTAACACAACTTTATCATAAAATTCAACATTGAGGAACTTTTCGTTGAAAAAATAACTATGAAAGTAAACCTTTTATTGAAATTAATTTGAACTCGTTGAAAAAAAATATGTTTGGAATTAAGTAGACCAATTTTTTGATATGATGTTTTCTAACCCAAAAAGCATCTCTAGTGGAAGTTGAAATATATATATATATATATATATATATATATATATAAATACTAT